GGAGATATGGTCCAGCAGTAACGGTGCAGCTCGGAGGACGCAGCGTCCGTGATCACACAGAGACTAGCTTCTCCCTCTTTGTCTGGTTGATTTTAAAATAAAGTTATCACCATGTGAAGAAACATCGCTGTGTTTTGTTGGAGATAAACTGCAAATAGGCCATATGACCACATGAGGGCGCAGTGATTATAGCCGTTATTTAACCAGGTAAGTCTTTGTGTACACATTTGTACGTTTAACGTCACAATTAAGCAGCAAACAATTAAGAACGTGCGCTGCCCCCTGGTGGTCAAACTGTGCAGCGGGGTAATTACAGCAGATGCAATTAGAACTACAGTAAACATGTCGGCCATCTTTTTCTCATTGGGCCTCTCTTACACTGACACAGCGACGCTCAAACTGCGTGGAGAGGCCGGCTGGAGCTCATGGAGCCACTGCAGGTGGACCACTGACCACAGAGGGAAACTGGGACTGGTTTGGGTGGAATAAACACCTCCTTTCACTAAGACTACAACACAACATGGCTGTCATGGTCCGGGCTGCCTCCCGGTTTTCCTGTCCACTGCTCAGGTGTATGTGGGGAAGTCCTGCCGCCGACACACCTGTTCATTATCAGGTCATTACCCTCCTGTATTTAAGCACCAGCTCGAGCTTTCGCTGCTTTCGTTGTGCGATCGGACTCTCTGATGCTCGCCGATGTCTCGCTGCCATCACTTTGAAGAAACTCACCTGTAATCCCAAGCTGGAGTTTTCCCGTGGAAAGAGGAACGCCCTCCATCGTTTCGCTGCCTCTGCCACCTGCTCCAGCAGAATCATCCTCACCTGTTCCTCCTCCTGCTGCAGACACCTGTCCATACACCTGAGCTAGCCCGAGTCCACTGACAGAGTTACCTTCATCAGTTATGACACTGAGAGTTTGAGCGTTAAGGACTGATGACGGAGTCTGGATGGGGTGGAGTTTCCTGAACGTGTCTCCAGACTGTCAGCGATCACCTTCGCTCGGTGGCGCTCCATCCTGCTAGAAACACTCCAAGCTGCTCCTGGATGGTTGGAAGGTGTTGGTCTGTGAGGACGTCGTAGGGAGATTGGAGCTCTGACACGGCGGGACTGCATCTCCACACGTCAGGATTTGGTGCAGAAGCTGAGACGCAGCAGAAGAAGACGGGTCAAACACGAATGTGGGAGGAGGGCTCGTCCAGCAGGAAAAGTCTGAAGCTGTTCCTCAGCGAATTGCAGAAGCACGCAGAAGTCGTCACACCGAAGCGTCTGAGGACAGACGATGTTTCGTGTGTGAGCAGCTCTGACTCTCCTTTAAAGGGACGCGTGAGCGTTTCCCGGGTCGCAAGCTCCTTCAGACACGCTCGCAGTAAAGCAAAGAAGCTTTGATGCACGCCATCGCACGACCACGTCTCCATCCAAGCACTCGAGATCGTTCATGTTTCATCTTCACCCTTTGTGTCAGGCAGACTGACTTTCCTTTAGTTCCTCTGCTCTGTGAAGCGCCTGCTTCAGTGTCGTCATCTCTGAAATCAGCTTTAATCACCTGCAAACACTCACACATCCGCCCGCCTGAGAGACGCAGCTCCAGCTCTAATGAGTCTTTAAGGTGGCCTTTCAAACCACATGAAGTGAAACCACACACACACACACACGGCTCTACCTGTCTTGTGTCTCCAGGTGTGTTTTAATCTCTCTGTGGTCTCTGCGGTGTCACATATCAAACAGACTCCCGCCTCACCAGAGGCCGCGGGGCTTCCAGGAAGGAAGTGGCGGCGGCACCGTCTCCGCCGACTGATCTGCTGGAGCTTCAAAAGCTCCTTCAAAAACTTCTGAGGACCCGGCGGCTGACAGAGGGCAGATCAGAGGGGAGGGGAGGGGTATAAAAACAAGCGCACCTGAAGGCAGCAGGTAGAAGAAGGCGAGCTTCATTCGGATACGCAGGAAGGAGACTGTTCGCTCTGATGACTGAAAGAAACGCAGCTCTGTAGGATTTTCTCGTGAAGAGCTCAGAGGAACTGAAGAAGCTGTGAAGCAGTTATCGCCCGACTGATCCGCCGATCGATTGGAGGATGTGGATGCTGCGCAGCGTCCTGTGCGTGTCTCTGGTCTGCGGTCTGGCGCTGGACTCAAACACCATCAGATCCTCCAAAGAGTCGACGCCGCAGAGCTCCGAGCTGCCGGTAAGACAAGGACACCTCACACTCCGCATCCCGCTGCACAACCTTCCTCCCGAACCTCAGTTTATTCCGTTTACGTGACGTCGAAAGCCTCAGGTCAGCGCGACCTGACGCTGCTCACCTGTTCATGCTGCACTGCTGCCTCCTGATTGGCTGACTGGATAACTGATAAATAAGCAGGTGTTCACAATAAAGTGCTTCAAGTTGGATCTAATTATTCAAACCTGAGAAGCTCATTCATTTATTTTAAAAATGATTTTGATACATTTATTAAAAATAATTGTATCAATATTTTTGAATGTTTAACATCAACTTAAAAATCTGCTTTGTCCATTCAAGCTTCCTTTAATCTTTCCAGCAGGAAGAAAATTCATTACATCCGTTTAGTTCAGTATGTTTGAGTTGAATTTTATTTCCACAGCACAAAGTCACAGCAAAGAAAACCCACAGAAAGGTGTTGGTGTCAGTGGGGAGGACGAACCCCCTCGAACACAGCAGAGCTTAGGCAGCAGCAGCGAGAGGAGCGAGTCTCTGATGCTCTGAATAAATCTGTGGAGGAAATATGAAATGTGAGAGCAAGTTTTCACCTTTCAGATTCATCAGGACAGAAAATCGCTGAAATCGTGAAAGCGGTTCGTCTGCAGGAAGCTCCAGCGTTAAAGCTTCCTGTCTGCTGGGTTTTCAGTTTAAGAGCCTTAAAGGCCAAAAACAAAACGAGACGGCGTCGCCCAGCGCAGACGCGTGTCCTGCTCTCTTTGCATGCACACTCATTTAATACTAAACGTGTTTCTGGGTTTTGTGCTGCCGTCGCTGTGATGCGAAGGATCTGTGGACAGCAGCAGGTAACAAGCTTCACAGGCGACGCTGTCATTACTGCAGCAGGGCGGAGTTTCTGTTCACGTGAAGCTCTCCATCAGCTCAATGATCATTGATCGGTGATCACTGACCTGATGGATGAATCAGTCTGTGAGGAGCGCGTCTTCACGGGGTTCAGGATTTAATTTTTTAAGATTCATTCGAGAGAAAAAAAGCAGCTGCTTGGCGCCGGCCATCTTTAACTCTGACATCACTCTCTCACCTTTTAGGATCGTTCCCATGACGACAGGATGGAGACAAATTCCAACTCCCACCGACGACAAAGCCCGCCATGTACTTCAACTCAATGCAACGCACCTCCGGTCAGTACCGCCTAGCCCTGCCCACCTGCCGGCGCTAGTAAATCTGTCTCCTGTTAGCTGGAGTTTAATTTGGTAAATTAATAACAAAGTGAATAATAAAGGTTTATTGATCCTCCATCACCTCCACCTGCAGGCGTCACGTCATCACTGCGACGTGACGCGGTGATGACATCCTCAACAACTGTACTCACAAACATAAACAAAGGCTAACTGCTAACTGCTAACGGCTAACTGCTAACGGCTAACGCTGCTGCTAAGGTGTGCATGTCAGTAATGAGTGACATCACACATGAGCACTTCCTGTTACAGTTTGAATTCACTTTACATTTATATAAATAAGTACCAGGAGGCCCCGCCCCCACTGTGCGTCACTGCCCTACAGGATACAGCGGGTTAAGGCGACTGTTATGATTTGGTGCGATGTCAGTAAACCTGGATTGGATGACATCATTTGTCTGATGATTCTTACCTGTGTGCAGCAGAGGGGGCGCTGCAGTAACAGAGCTGACAGAAGGCCGCCCCCCAGTGACGGACAGGCGGACGGACAGGCGGGCAGAGTGACGGGAGGACAGAGGGACGCTGACGGCAACAGGACCAAAGGTGAGAGGCTGAGCATGTGCTGCTTTCCCAGAGTGCACTGCAGCAGGAAGCGGTAGTGATGTGCGATACCACTGATTTCCTTTCCGATCCGATACCGAGTAATATCCAGGGTGGTATCGACGATACTGATCCGATACTTTGTACAAAAACGTATTTATTGTATCTCAAATTATAGCGTAATATCAGATTACTTGTTCTCATCACTTAATAATGCAGAGTTCATCATATAGAAATGAAAATATAGAAATAGAAATAAAAAAACTGAAGTTATGCTATTTGAACACGTTGCCTGCAGCATAAAGGACTCTGTGAGAGACGTCTGTCTCGCCCTAGCAGCACCTGTCCCTCTCCTCTACAGTTCGCCTCAACATACGCTCGTCATATTCTGTGATAAGATTTACTCTGAGGTGTTTGACAAGGTTAGTGATGTTGCCACAACCATACATGCCAACCCTCCCGATTTTTCCGGGAGAATCCCGAATTTTAATATATTTTCAGGTGAGAATGTAGCTGTGTAAACTTCAAATATCTGAGCCGACACATTGTTTTCAAACCCCCGCGGTCTTTCGTTACTCAGGTTAAACATGATATATAAGTCACTTTGATAACTTAAAAATGTTATTGTTTGGCTTTTTCAGTGTTTTATTTGTTCGTGTTTGGCTGAGATTAAAGTTATTAGATTAAATTAAATTAAACTTTATTAATCTTCCAGGGTTTTCACACAGCTGAATAAACGTCAAACAGAAAATGATTGAACAGAAGAGTTTACGTCAGCGCCCGGTTATATTTTAGATAGCAAGGAGCAGACGGCAGTTTCACTCCACCGAGGGAGCTCGTGACGTACTACCCGGCTTCCTTTAGACCACGAAGGCCGGTGTTGTGCCAAAAAGTGATTTCTAATGTTTCTGTGTATTTTTTATGTGTAATATCTTTACGCATGTTCGTAAATAGACTTCGGTGAACAGCGTTTACAAAGGGGTTTTATATAGAATTTAAAAATTATCCGTTTTTCAAGTATCTTTACAGCTCTGTGTTATTGTACTGACATTATAACCAATCCGATCCTTTATCCCCACTTAAAATATTTTACAGAACTATTGTCATATTTGCTGCCATTTCTTCTCCTCTTGGCCAGCTTACTCTTACAAAAGACATTTTTAATGTTAATGAGATTTTTTTTTAACTGCATAAATAACGGTTATATAAAAGTCACTGCCAAAAACTGATTGCGGCTTCTACCTTGTTACATGAATGTTGTTTGTGGCTCAAGATGACTTTATGTCATCCACGAGGGATGCGTTTAACATATGTTTCACATATTATAGCCCAACAACTTACTTATAGCAGTTTAAATACGAGCAATCAGTTTTTGGCAAATACCGGAAATCAGTTTTTGGCAGACAATCACGTTTTGGCACAACACCGGGTCCTCAGGTGGAAGCAGCCTCTGAATTTGGACACCCCCGCTGTTTCCGGGCCGGCCAATAATAACGGTGACATTTAACGTATTTTATCCGATAAATAAACCCTGTAAAATGAATTTATCCCCCCAACAGCCTTTTGAATGTCTCCCTACTATGTCCACAACACCTCACTTTTTTGCCACATGTATCGCAAACCACGTCTCAGCTGTTTGTGGAGGTAAAATAAGTTCACATGACTCCAGCTACGCTCAGCCAGTGTTGTGAGTGCGCGCGCCAGCGGCTGCGAGACATTTATACAGCCGTATTTCACACATGACTGTGAAAGGCGGAAGAGGAAGTAGTTCCTTTGACTGTAGACAATCTGAATGATATAGTTTCTTTCCACTGTGTTACTGTTAATGATAAACTACAAATTTACTCTAAATTACTAAAATATCAATATTTTAATGTGAGAATCGATTCTAGAACATAAATGATTGGTATCAGAGGAATCGATATTTCAGAATCGATCCGCACATCACTAGGAAGCGGGCGTGCTGACATGTGTGTGCGTTTCAGCTCTGGAGATGTCGAGCTGCGTGCGGTCCGGCGACTGCGCGGACGGCCTGTGCTGCGTCCGGTACCTGACCGGCAAACGGTGCCAGCGGATCCCGGTGGAGGGCGAGGCCTGTCTGCTGCGAGGTCCAACCAAGCGGAGGAGGAACCTGGGACGCTGCGACTGCGATGCGGGGCTTTTCTGCGCCGCCGCGGACCGGGTAGAGACGGGCAAAAACAAGGGCCAGGGGGTGTGCGCACCCCGGCCGAAGCAGGGCCAGCGGAAAACAAGGCATTCTGGGAAGAAGCGGAGGACGGCAGAGGGGAGCTGCTGACGGACTCATGAACTCTTTATTTAAGTCTGTAGAAGGTTTTAGATGTTTCTCATATCACAGGTTCATCCAATCAGCAGCTGCCACACTTTCTCCACCACTGTCACTTCAACCAATAAAAGTCAATGAAAGTTGGTCTGAGCTCTTCTCAGGTGTGTGGGCGGGCACAGGTGGGGTTTGACTGACAGCTGTGGGGCAAACTCCACCCTTATTATTCATTACTCACTCGCTGAGCAGCATTGTGACCCTGCAGTTCCTCCAACGTCCACCAGAGGCAGCAGCGACCCAGGCCCCATAGACTCCCATGTTAAAACTGATACACAAACTGCTTGGTGTCCAGTGTTGGGCAAGTTACTTTGAAAAACTAATTAGTTACAGTTACTAGTTACTTCTTCAAAAAAGTAACTGAGTTAGTAACTGAGTTACAATTTTAATAATAATAGATTGGATTTATATAGCGCTTTTCAAGGCCCTCAAAGCACTTTACAATGCCACTATTCATTCACTCTCACATTCACACACTGGTGGAGGCAGCTACAGTTGTAGCCACAGCTGCCCTGGGGCAGACTGACAGAAGCGAGGCTGCCATATCGCGCCATCGGCCCCTCTGGTGTCTTGCCCAAGGACACAACGACCACGACAGAGAGCCCGGGGATCGAACCGGCGACCTTCCGGTGGGGTTGGGAAGCGCATCTGTAACCAGAAGGTCGCCGTGGCCCCCTAAATATAAATATAATATATAATATTTATTATATATTATAAAAGTAATTAATTACTAGGAAAAGTAACTATTGCGTTACTTTAAAAAAAGTGTTACATTAAATGATGCTTTTTAAGCAATGTAGTGCAAATTAAATGAGCCAAACTGTAACAGCTTTAGAGAACTCAGCTAAACAAGTATTTTTCTCTATGCAAAAGTAAATAAAAAAAGGATACTTTATAATAATAATAATAATACTGTATAATAAAACTAAAACATTTTTATAAAGTACAAAAATATAAACAGATAATACAAAGTGTCAACTCTTCTATTTGAAGCCACACGTGCTGTTCTTGCAGTAGAGGTTTATTATTCCTGCTTGAATGTCCTCTGCTTTTGTTAAACATGAACTCTTGCCACGTCCACACACCCCTTACATCCATCGTAGCCATTAAACCAGTGGTTGCATCTCAAAACAAGGAGCTTCTCAAAGTTCTTATCAGAGAGTCTGTTCCTCTTTGGAGAGAAGAGGAGCTTCCCGAGGCTACACAGTCTTTGTACTGAGGCACTGAATGGCGTGGCTGCATTGTATCTTAGTGAAATATTCCTTATCAGTGCATATCTATTCAGAGTCCATTCCATGTGATCCTGATGTGAAATAATCTATGACTTGACTTTCTGCAGTAGCAGAGGTGTCGTCCTCATCTTCAAAGGAAAGAAAGTCATCCTCTGTGCTACGTTGGTGTGCTGGGACCTGCTCGCTGCTCTTTGTCAAAGACAACTTTCCGGCGCTCTGCCAGCAGACCTGCCTCGGCCTTCACACGCCATATTATATATCATGTGCATCTTTCTTGGCGACTAGTTTTGTTGAAGCATGTGACGTTGAGCTTCGTAAGATTCAAATTGCTTACAAGTGATGTGGAAAAGCACTTTGTTACATTTCACATACAGATTCTTGCCTTTTCTCTCTGAGTGAAAAGTAACGTCTGGACCTCTTAAAAAAATGCTACCTTCGAATTATCCGGGCTCTCCTTGACTTTTGTTTCTGTGCATCGCTCGAGTCTACCTCTGACTGGGTTTCCATGACTAATTTTACTCAGCAGCACTCATCCTCGCTCACAGCAAGCAGAAGACGACTTCAACCGTGTGAATAGTAAGACATCTGCACCATATTCTCTTGTTGGTAACGGTAACGGCATTGTAACGATAGAAATAGTAATTAGATTACTGAAAAAAGTAACACCGTTATTCCCAGCACTGTTGGTGTCTATACGTAATTTCCCTTCATAACACCTGTAAGGGGGGGGGATGATTTTATAACTTACCTGGATTAAAAAGTGCATTATTAGGGGGCGGGGCCACTGTGTATGCTGTAAAGTTAGATGTTTAACGTGGCGGTCTGTGGGGACTGACTCAGACCACTCCCATGTTTCCATTTTCATCCTGAAAAATCTCCGGCCATATAAAACACAGAGAAAGAGCGCGCCATAGCGACAGCCGATGATGTAACCCTCACCGGGAAGAAATGCTGGCCAATCAGAAGGCCACAAACAATAACAGCCTGATATTTCCAAAAGTCTTTCAGCGCTTTTCCCAAAGCTCAGGGATCCCAAACGTCACATGCACACGCCTCACTCTGCGAACAGCCTCTGCTGGACACTTGAGGAACTGCAGCTGTTGCTGCTTCCTGTGTGTCAGTGTGGAGGCGGGCGCACAAAATGCAGCAACAAGTTCAGTCTGATGCAGGTTAAACTGCACACCTGAGGCTTTTATCCTCAGCACGCACACAGAGCGCCACCTGCGACGCACAGCAAACTAAACTCTGAGCCGATGGTTACCGAACGCGTCGCTGAGCGTCACACGACCTCTCCGGTCGCACAGAAAAGCAGCAGGGTCCAAACCCAGAGTTCATCAGCTGACGCCTCACCTCTCACACGATCCACCTCGATGATCTGAAAGTCACCGCCTTCAGCCTGGATCAGGTCCGATTGGCTAATACAACAATATTAATTTACTGATCAATCGCTCTTCATCCACAGCAACAAGGCTCAAGTGCTCCCTCTGCTGGTTATATGAAACACTACTCATGGTCACCTGTGGGTTGATGTCTTTGCACGTGTGGATCGGAGGTGTAACGACACCTCAACAGCAACTTCAGAAATATTTAGCGGTGATGCATTCAACGCCGTTTTACCCGCCATATAAAACCTGAATGATGTCAGCAGATACAGTGTAGGCATTTTAAGAACACATCAGTGCTTACCCTCAGCCTCTAGCGCACACACACACACACACACACACACCTTTGGTATCAGTTTAAAAACTTGGGTGTCCATGCCACCCACCGGCGAGGCGACGACTCCTGATGAGCCCGAGGCAGGTGAGGTTTACGGCACAAAGAAGCACGATGAGTGAACCCTGAAGTTACCTGGATACCAAACACCTCCTTCCTGGTGTAGGCTCTGCTCGAGCACGTTCAGAGGAAAATCTTCAGTTTATTTTATATGAGAGCATCAGCAGAGTCAGGCATCAGGTGTAATTCCACAGCTTTACCAGCAGGTGTCACTTGTTAACAATTTAGAAAGGCCTGCACCTGTGAGAGTAATCAGATTACACACCAATCACCCACACAGTTCAGCAGAAACGCTCCAGATTTACTCTGTTAGAACACATTTCAGTGACATCACTTCCTGTCACAGCTCAGGTGTTCGGCTGCAGGTAAATTTTATTGCTGAAGTTCAGAACAACGTCTGTCCTTCTTAAATACAATTTAAAATGGCCACGCCGATTGAGAGGGTGGCGGCGTGCGGGCGGCGAGCTTTGAGACTCAAACATCACAACACGTTTCAATTGTCAAGGCATCGTTTGTTTTATTCTCTTTGATTTAACGAAAAACCGTCAAGACTTTGTGGAAAAACGTTAATGCAAAAGAAACTTCCAAAAGGCAAAGTCACAAATGCAGCAACAGGATTTAACAGAATAAAAAAAAGAAAAAGGGGGGGCAGAGGGGGATCAGGTGGATCTCCATCAATAGGAATGTTGAATGGTGGAGGGGTGGAGCCTAATCAGGGAGCAGCTACAGGAAGGGCGGTGAGCTCAGAGCTGCCCGCAGTTGGCGATGACGACCTTGCGCTTGGTTTTCCCACTACTGCTGCCGAACTTCTCCATCTCCTTCACCACGTCCATCCCTTCGACCACTTGGCCGAACACCACGTGCTTCCCGTCCAGCCTGTGGGCAGAGAGCGCCGTCAGGACACAGTGAGACAAACAATCTGAATACACCAAACTGACCTCCGACCTTCAGCTTAAAAACCAACCATGACGCCTCCTCAAAAACGAGCTTCCTTTATTACCTCCTTCAGCCAAGGAGACACCAGAGGATGCTTGAGGAAACTAGCAGCCCACGCCACCAAACGCATCATGAAACGGTCTGCACGCCACGCCACGTCCTGACTAAACACTGCTGATTGGAGAGATTTAAATCTAAACACGGGGCCGCCCCGTGATGTCAGCCACAGCAGGTTCACTGCAGCCATAACCAGCAGTCGCCTAAGGAGGGAGTGAGTGACGCGCAGAACAAGTGTGCTGCGAGGAGGATCTGTTGATGGACGCCGCGACGCTCCGAGTGCACGAGAACAAAGAGCGACCAGAGCTGAGCCCACGGACGGGGTTACCGTGTGCGTCAGTCCGCGTGCAGTCCCCTCCCACACCCGCGCACGTTTCAACCACGACGACCCGCTGACAGCGCTTTTAGATCAGCGCTTTCGTCGCTCGAGCTCTTTGAGATTAAACCTCGTCTGCAGCCGTGAACGCGGGCCGAGCGGTTCATAGTTACCGTCTCAGACGTTAGAATCACTTTATGTTCCATAAACATTTTATTCTGAGCAGCTCTACTTCAGGTTTAACTGAAAGACTAACACGCCGTCATGTTTGACGGACTCCCAGCTCCCGATGACGACACCATCTGACCGTTACCTCTGGTCATTCGATAAAACACTCCAGCACACAACCCGGAGCAGGAATATTACATCTCATCAGTGCCGATGGATCACTTCACACCAGTCTGACTTCCTGTCTGTGAAGCACGGCCCGAGCACGTACGTACCATGACGTCTGTTCGGTGCAGATGAAGAACTGAGACCCGTTGGTGTTGGCGCCGGCGTTGGCCATGGACAGGATGCCGGGGCCGGTGTGTTTCAGGGTGAAGTTCTCATCTGCGAACTTGTTGCCATAGATGGACTTTCCTCCGGTTCCGTCGTGGTTGGTGAAATCGCCGCCCTATGACATCAGAGGCACGTTACAGATCACATGTTCACACAGGTAAGGAGTACTGTATTTCTCTGTAGAACCTGCATTTTGAGCTCACCTGGCACATAAAGCCCGGGATGATGCGGTGGAAGCTGGATCCCTTGTAGCCGAATCCCATCTTGTCTGTGCAGAGGGTGCGGAAGTTCTCAGCAGTCTTGGGCACCATATCAGCACGGAGCTGCAGGAACAAAGTTCAGAGAGAGGGAAGGGATGACTTTGATCTTGAGACACCACCTCAGCCGGCAGCTCCTACGTACGGTCGCCAGCCAAACTCCGGAGGTTTATCAGCCATGGTGAACTTTGCTCAGCCCGCCCGGCAGCCTTACAGCGCCCTGCGCTGCAGGTGGCGCTGCAGGTGGCGCTGCAGGTAAACATAGCAAGCCTGGCCGACTTCTGCTCAGCCCGAGTGGAAGAGCTGCAGCACTGCGTCTGCAGGGCCCCCACAGCAGTGACGCCACCACGGAGGCATGACCAGAGGTGCAGCAGGGTGAGGTCTGCAACTGCTGCGCCTGCTCAGCAAAAACACAATCTGCACCTTCATCTTTTTTATCCTCCATCTGCTGGGAGCACTGGGAAGCTCCGGTTACCCCACAAAGCCCCCAACCCTGCCAGGAATGGAGCCGTTCTGGTTTGGGCCGTTTTTAACGTGCAAGCTGGGAACGCCCATAACGTGCTGCTGCTACAAGCACAAAATGGCTGGACGGCTAGCACTCATGCTAGCTATTTTTTAGCCTGCAGTTAACCTGGTTAAACAAACATAAGCCCGCCAACGAAGCGCCTCCATAAGCGGCAGCTCGGTTACGTAAGGTTAGGTTCTCACACAAACAAAGGGCCACACGGTAACCCCACATCCGCATCTCAACTCCCCTCCCCCCGCGGACCGCGCCAGCTCAGTGGAAGATTCCAGAAGCAAACACGGGGAACAGCGCAGTTAGCCTCGGTGGCTAACAGCCGCAGAACCGGCTACTCAAGTTTTATCACACGAGCCTCAGAAAAAGCGTTTCCCCGCCCCGTTCGCCTCACACAGGCGACAGTTCACCGACAGCAGCGCGGTTTTCCCGGGTCTGCGAAGGCCGCGCAGCCGCAACAAAGAGCCTGCAATAAAAGTAGCATTAGCATCGCTCATTCGTCGGCGGGTAAAATACTCGCTCCGAGAGGCGCGGGCCCAGTCTGCGCCTCCATGTGACTCGAGTTTGAGACATTTTCCGACCACAGCCACAGCTGGTCTCCAATCAACCGCGGGCTAATGGCTGTGAGCAGACAGGCATTCAAACCCGAGTCGTTCAGCCCCGGGACGCTGACATTGACATCAAAATCACATTAGCTGCATTCTACGAGCTAACGGCGGCCTCTGCAGCTGCAGTCGGCCCCGGAGCGCACCGAGCGGCGCTGGCGAGCAGCCACAAACACGTGCACACGGCCCCCCCAACACGCTCGTGACAGCTCGGCTAGCTGCTGTGATGCTACAAGGAAACAGGAGGCTGCCCCCAGCAGCTGAAGCCCGGTCCACGCTGCCAGGAAGAGCCGCGGCAGAGGTGACTATCGGCACCCAGCAGCGGTTACTAACCGCCGGCTAAATTCAGTAGCAGTAAGCCCCACCGACTCCCGGGATAAACTACCGGCCTGCGCACCGCAGCAGCGGCCTCACCTCCATCACGATCCGGCCCGCGGGTTTACCGTCAACGGCGATGTCGAAGAAAACTTTGGGATTGGCCATTTCAGTAGGTCGAGCTGGAGACGGAGGACTGAGTTTTCCGGTGAAAAGACACAACGGACCACAAGGAACCGAAAAGAGCCGACGATAAAATTTATATAAGACGCGAGTGGGCGGCGTGAAATCCCAGCGAACCAGTCAGTAACACGGGATTATTTGATTGAAGCGTGTTTAATCCAACCAGCAGAGAGAATAGCGAAAGCTTTTCTCTAAGTGGACGAGCGAGTTTAACGTTGCGTTCTATTCGTATGTCAGGCCGACCCGCCTGGGCGGGGCTTGGGTGTTGGGAAGGCTCCTGTCCTCGGAGCACCGCCCCGTTTCGGCGTCCAGTTTAAGGAAAAAGTGAATCTCTCTAGTGCCAAAGCGGCGCGCGCTACAAAAATAGACAACGCGAACCTCCAATGGCAGCAGAGCACACGAGGTGGTGGGAGGGGTGAACGTCAAGTCTGGCAGCGGGACCGTGCTGCCACCGCCGGGGGGGCGCGGTCACGCGGCCAGGGCGCGGTCCGGTGTTTCCTGCAGAGAGCGGACTTACTCATCGTGGAAATTTACTGCGCGCGGAAAAGTTCAGCTGTGCTCGAGACGAAGTTCAGCAGCACAGCTTAGCGCGCAGACTCAGACTGAGCTGCGTCACAGCTGCAGGAGGTTCATCAGGAAATCAGCTGTAAACAGTGACAGAGAACTCGTGCAGCACCCCAAACACACCGCAACAGTCTGATTAAAGGGTCAAATTCCCCCACACTGCTGTG